CCCCCCCCCCCCCCTCCCGCATCTCCATTAAAGCAACAGATAAAAAAGGAACACCGCACCTCCACATGTAGACCGCGAGCAGACTCTCTTTTTTAGTAGTCTCTTGGTGTCGATGGAGGGTGCAATCACCAAATGACGTAATACAAAAGACTGAAAAGGCACTGAGCAAACCCACACCACAACTCAGTACCTAACCAACAATAGTTTCCGCAACACCAAGAAACACCCCTTTTCCTAAGGCGATATTACACGAGAAAATTCGCCACGACGATCTTTAGCGCAGTACAGCGTTTCAACATTGTTGCGATGTTGTTTCGAATTTTTCCAACATTTCTCCAACATTGCAACGCTGTGTTGCGCTAAAAATCGTCGTTGCGAATCGTCCCATGTAACATCACCTTTAGACCGTCGAGCGAAACGAACGAGAGGAGAAAATGGCCATGCACGCGACTTTGCCGTTTGCGTTCCACACCGTATGTAACTGAGTTTTGTTTGTGACAGGAACCTGACCTTGTTCGTTTAATGAGCGAGGAGGAGGGTAGTAACAGATTGAATGATACGCCCGACTTACTGATCTTGTCCAATGATATCCCCGCCAGTCCAGCTGAGGAGCTGGTTATAACAGGAGAGGACGAAGATGATCCAGGTCGGTACATACTGTATTCTCATTAGGGCCATCCACAAGCAATGCCTGTAATACCAGCAAGATATGGGATACTCAGCCCGAGGCGGTAGGAGCGGGGAGCTCCTGGAAGAGAGTTAGTTCATTGGTGGGCGGTGCGCATAAAGAAATATATGAAACACCGAAAAGCCTGAGCACGCTATTATGAAGAGAAACTGACGTATATAAGAAACCTACAATGTATAAACCTTTATTTTTTTATATACCTGGTATTAAAGATTTTTTGTTGGTCGGGGTCTGCACAGAATCCGACACTCCTCACTGTTTGTACCGGTTGTTTTCCCTGTATTGGTGTTTTTGATACATTGTCCTGTTAAATGACTGTACTGATCTAAGAAGTAAGAAGCGAACCCACTGGTCCCTCCAGAAGTCTTGTGTTTGCTATTTGGAACCTACACTTATTGATTTTATTGGTTGTGAGAAAAACGCTTAAAAAGATGTTGTTATTGAGACATCTTGTTTACGGGACTACTGCACACAATTAAGCGCAATTTTGTTGCATAGAAAATGGTCATTATTGACGAAAAGGCCCGATAAACTTGCTTAGAATTATACAGCAATAGAAAAGGAACACAAGAATCCCACAAAGAAGGCGCATGAATGGCAATTAAAACAAAGTTTACGATTTGCATTAATGTTAATACACCGTAGTGAGCGTGACCTTAACCTATAACGCGCGGGAAATATTCAATATTTCTTTTCCTTTTCCTTTTTTTCCTTTTTCTGCTGGCATTGAAGTTCCTTGAATCCATTCCGGCTGTTCCGTAACTAAGCTCGTTCAACAGCAGCCAAACCCCCTTGATAGGGGCAACCAATGGGCAATGCCAATTGTCCACATTATTGAGTGGTTCGTTTTAAAGAGATAGAAATTGTAGGAGGTTTGGTCTCTTTAGCACCAAGAAAACCGTCGGTAACAGAGCGGTGTTCTTATTTTAGAGGTTCCCTAACGAGGGGTTTGAATGTTCTTTAAATGACGACGGGTCAACGACTAGGTTACAGTGCCTCCTTAACTGTATACTAAACTGGCATCAACTGTTTTGTGTTGGTTTTTTTTAGACACCGGCCGTTTAATGCAGGAATCAGTAGCCTTGGACACCTCTCACGAGAGCAGTCGAGGCACTACACGGCTACCCAGTCCAGAGCTAGGCGCCGACGGTGATGGGTTTTCCGACTGGGACAGCTGGGAGGGTGATAACGAGGTACGCAGCTTTAAATGCAGATTTATTCAGGTGAAGCATGTGCAGCATTGATGACAGATTTAACTTGCTAGCGACGTCTTTCTCAAAACGCAAAGTGGAGGGGTCTAGCTCGCCAGTGGAGAGGTATCAAAAACAACTCACACGTAAGAAAGTGGAGATGAGAAAGCTTTGGGCATAGTGCACAATATAGATCAGACGTGGGCATAAATAAACACAACTAAATTGGGATCCTCTGTGTTGTTCACATTGTTCACAATGGTCAAAATTGAGCCCACTGTACCAAGCACACGGCCTTGAGGCCTGGGTTTGAAACTGGAGCAACATGCAGCGCATGCTCAGCAAAGATCATACTCGATACAGATACAGTGATGCAGTTTTACTCAAGGTGTTTTCTTTATTTCGCGAAGTATTTTGAACACCAATTTTGGCCCGACGGGATGGGAATTTGATCGACTGAATTCTTTAAATAAAGTTCCAGTGCCCAAGTGGTTGCCCAGGGAGGCATAGCATTGTACGTTTTAAATACTCCTCTTGTGGCTTTTGTTTCCACAGCTATTTAGTTTGAGTCAGGTAAAGGAATGAACCGAGTCTGAAGCGCAAAAACCTGTTTTAATGCTACTGCTCCTCAACAATAGTTTGGAAAGCTCTATTACATTTTTTGACCCTTAAATACTGATTCAAGATCACATGTGGTTGAACTAAAAACTCATCCGATTAATTCTAACAGGTTTGCCTTTGTATTGTAGTCAGTACGACTTTATGCTGTGCCATAGCACTTAAATTTTCCCAGAGTGTGGTAACCGTTCTCCTTATATACCTTATGACCAGTATCACCAAACCTGAGTTGTTTTACTGGAAGCTTTGTCTTGTCAGTCAGGAAACCGCTGTCTTCACGCCATACTTGGTCATTTGCATCACAGTTACAGCGTTGTTTTGCTGCGCATGAGTTTTTCATCCCGCATGCGCACTTACCACTTCCAGGAGACGCTCCACCCCAATATGTCATCTTAGAAGAATCACGCGACACCCACCATCCGTATGGACTGTTAAACCAGAGACCTGAGTGGTAGCACTCGTACTTGATGAACTGTTCACAATGTGAAGAGACACTGGTGAGACTGGCCAGCTGAGACAGACTCGCTCCTTTGTAATGAATGTCACGTTTGTAACTGCCTTTATCTTCATATCCTTTCACATTTGTCCTGCTCTCACTGTCGTGACTGATGACTGTCACGCCAACACCCTTCTTGTCGGTCATGTCACAGTACACAGTAAAAGGTGCCAGACCTCCCTCACCATCTGGATCAATGACATACTTCTTGCTGACTGTGCTGACGTAATTCCGGATTTCAGAGCAGGATCTCGGCGTTGGATGGCGACAGTTATGTCCATTTCCAACGTACCCAGGCTTGCACTTGCATGAATAAGATCCAGGTTCATTCACACATGTAGCAAGCGGGTGACAGTTGTATGTCTTTTTTTCACACTCATTGAAATCTAAACAAATAATTAACAATTTTAAATAAATACAAATGATTCATTTTTGAAATTACAAAATAAAAACCAGGGCGGTTTTTTGGTGTAGGTGAACACTCAGCATGCTGTAGACAAAGATTTTTTTGTTATTGTTTGCCTTTGTACACACCTAATCTTAAGGCCCAATCGTGTATTCAAATGAGGGCGGAAAAGGAAGTGGTTCGGACGAACGGGAACTCAGTTGAAACACCAAAAGTAGTTCTCTATAAATTTTCTAAACTGACATTCCTACATAACCAGAACTGCGCTTACCTATATACCTCGCGGCGTGTCATACCTGTCACTGTCACATTCGTTAGCAACAAAATATGAAGAGGATGGGCTATAGACAATTGCTGCTCTTGGAACATCCGTCGGAACTAATTATCCCTCAGGCCACTTAATTAAGGCATGACTACCTAATTAAATATGCATATTTTAGTAAATGCTATTTAATTAGAACGGTTTGCTTCCATCAGTGCTCCTGAAAAGTGAACTACGAAAAAAACACGTGAAACGTGATTTTAAATAACACGTGACATCACTTCGTCAATGACGTCACAAAACACGTTTTCCTAAACGGGGAAGGGTTGCAAACCTTAATCTTAGGAATTTTCACTACCAAAATGTTACATAAACAGTGTAAATCGTAAATTCGCCTTGTACAAATGTATGATTGGAAATGTTATTTATCCTATTAGCTATTTAGTTAATTAATAAGTCACGTGACCCTTTTCCCTTTATTTACCGATTCCTATATAAACACATACAAGGCGCACTTATAGGAACCTTTTAAAAAAGCCTCTGAAATGTACCTAAAAGAACTTGTTGCTCTTTCATTATCCTTTCCCCATTTTAGAGTAAATATTTTGACCGTAGATTCTCAATTATCAGTCACGTGACGAAAATTTGAGCTTCTAAAACGCACTCATATTACTAAGGCCATTAAGCTACATTTGTGGTTCAATTTTTATCAAAATATGCATATTTAATTAGACAGTCATGCCTTAAAGGTCAAATGAACCAAAAAATTGACATATTTTCTTTTGTCGCTTTACCTTCACCAAACACTAAAAAGAACCATCCTAAGTGAGATTTGGGTAAAGATTTTTCTTCCCAAGCCTTTATAGAAATAAGATCAAAATCCGAGAATTTCCGAAGACTTCACGAAAACGTTCTGAAATGGCCGCGTGATAGACTGGAGACTACGTGACGTCAATCTTGGTCTTTCAGGGCGGAAAAACGTTCTGCGCAAGCTTCTGCGCATCCCTTATCACCTGCGTTTGTTTGTCTCGTTCTGTGAGAGTTCTGACTGAGTGAATGAAATACACGAGTGCGAACGTTTGCTCCTTGTAAAGGCTTTTTTTGTTTGTTTTCGTTGTTGTTGTTTTTTTGTCACTTGAAAATTACTTTGGATTCAGAACAACCAATGTAAGAGTAAAAACAGGTCATTCCGTCAGTCTCAGGTGGATTAAAACGTTTTGAACATTTCCAAACAGGTTTGTATTTTTCTGATAATTGTGCATTCGATTTGTGAGTTGATTTTGTGTCCAGTGCTTCGCGTTCTTTCGCCGGGTTGAATTAAAACCTGCTTGTATTCTGTTATTAGTAGTTCTGGTTACCTTTTTTACATGCCCAGATTTATTTACCTTTGCAGAACCAGCTTTATCCTTGTCTTCAGTCAAAGAACCGTAACGGCTAACGCATGCGAGTGAACAACCTTGTGCGCTTTTAAGCTTTTAAGTTTTAATAACTTTCTCGGAACTTTAGAAGGCCAGCAAGCTTACTTGAGAAGAAAAGACTACTTCGATCATTTTTCTGTTGCTCAAGTAATAATAGTCAGAGTTTTTTTCGTTTAGTTTTTTCAGTTTTAATTACATAGTTTTGTCATCTTTCTGTACGTAAATTTTGCTTTCACTCGCTGTGAAAGCGGAGAACGACAACTGCCGGCAGCGGACTCCAAAACAATCGACTATTTGCCCGTAAACAATTGCTGGAGCTGGATTTGACTGAAGCGAGCAAAACAAATCCTTATGTGCAGTTTTCTGTATTTTCTAATGATTCAGTTTGCTGAGTTTAATTTGCTTGAATGAATCGAAGATCCTCGCATGGACCAGTTATTAAAAGTAGCTAATCTAGCTAAGTAGTCGGAATCAAGGCTTGGCTGCGAAGCTTGCAACTGATCTTTTGCTTTTAAGATCTTGCAATCTTTAGGTAGGTTGTTTCCGTACAGAAAATTCACTTCTTCTTTGTCAGCAGGTATAAGAGCCTTAAGCCTTATGTTTTTTTAATGAAAATTTGTTGTTTTGCAACCTTATTGAAGTTTTTTTAAATCACTTAAGCTGAATTTTATGCATGATGGAATTATTCTTTGCTTGTCGCATCTCTTTGCCAGCTTAAAGTGGTGCCTATGGTCCTTAAAGTGACCTCAATCAGTAATTAAATCTTATACATAATTGGAAGGAAGTTTTTGCAATAATGCAACTTTAACTTTGTTTGAAGTAAATCTTACTTACGCGTAGGTTTTTGACAGGAGTTATGCATGTTCAACTTGACAACACAAAGCGATCAAGTTTAAAGAACAATGGTTGCTTTGAAACCGATCTTGGGGAAGATTTACTAGATAATGATTAACTCTTTTTCTGCCCACATATCAACGCCAAAACTGCTACATTGAGGTTTTTGTTTATATTTTAGTGATCTGCGAAGCTAGAAGTGTCCGATCGAGCGTGGGTTTTAAAATATCAGCTCGAGTGCGACAAAGTTCAGTGACTTCAAACACATTGTGGGCAAACTTGAATGTCTTTGGGCAGATTATTATACAAAGACATTTTGTTTTTGTGTCCACGATGGAGCTCCGGACCTTATATATCCAGGAAATTCCTTATATGAACACATTTTTGCGAATGCATCTTGAAAAAAATCGGACTTACGCACGTACATTTCCAGTACAACTCAAGGAAATTAGTAAATGTCGTTAAAGTCCGTTTTACTATGATGTATTCTTCGAGAAAATTAAACCATAAGAAGGTTATAACCGTAACTTGCAACTTTTGAAGACAAATTGCCTGTTCTATCCAGGTATATGGCCGCACAAACCATTTCTGCGCCAAGTCGACTCGAAAAACTCTGTTTAGAATTTCCCGCTTTTTTTCACCTGACCAACATTGACGTCACAAACTGTTTTTTCCGACAATTTTTCCGACCGCTCTACGAAGATAAGGGCCAAAAAATAGCAAGTTTTAATTGCAAATATCTCGGAGATGCTCGCTTCAATTGAGCTGAAACTTCATAGTATGTTTATTTGGTTCATATTAAACACATTTCACTAGAATTGAACTAAAATAAAAAAGGTCGAAATTTTGGTTCATTTGACCTTTAAGCTAAGTGGCCTGAGCCGTAGGATGCCTAAGATTTTTGCGATTTCACAATTGGTGTTGTCGGTTTTTGTACCATTAAATCGTAAAGGATGGATACATTAAGACGGTGATTTATCCTCGAACTGCTGATCGTTATTCCCGTAGCATAGAACTATACTTACGAATGATTATACCAAGGCGTTTTAAAGAAATTTATTGAACTCTTCTGAAAGTAACGCGGATTTGATGGCTTATTGTTCAAGTCGAGACGAAAGACGACGTACTAACCTACTTTGATATGAAAATTCTCGCGTATCCTACCAACTGAGATATTTAATTATCGTAAACGGCCGCTAATAAATGCCCCCCACTTATGAGCTCTCCCCCATTTACGGCCCATCTACCTGTGAACAAAAAAATACATCTGATTCAAAGCTCCCTCGATAAACGCCCCTTCTTATCCTCGCCCCCCTCTGAATTCGATAAGTTATGACCTTTTTAAAAGCTTAATTGAACACCAGTCAATGCAAAACGTATTTTGATCAGCACTGCTATATCTTGTTTCGAAGCGATTTTTCTATTCTGGTTATAATCCCCCTCGGATATAAGCCTCTCCGTTTATAAGCCCTCCTAAAACCCCTTACGAAGATGTATAAGCCCCGGGATAATAAGCGACAGTTTACGGTAGACACCAAAGGCCGGATTGGCTGAGATTTTGCTATCCGGGATCTGGCATAATGCGTATTGGATTTTTTATATAATTTTCTACTTAACAGTTAAAGAAGCAACTTTCAAGGGAAGCATAAAAGCTTTCGGGCTGTCTACAAAAAACAAAGAGGCTTCGGTTTGGAGTAGAAAACAAGAAAACGTTTTCTTTATCCTTGCAGACTCCTATTGGCATTCGCTCATTGATGAGCCGGTCAAGTTGCTCGTTGTTCGTTTTTAAGAAAGTGGGATTTGCATGAACAAAAAAGGTAGAATATCTGGCCATTAAGAAAAGACCATTAAAACACTGAATGAATAAAAACATTTTACCATCCTACCTCTCTTACAAGTGTACTGATGACAATCACCACACTTCACGTCATTCCATTCGTAGTTGTATCTCAAACCAAGTGCGTGCACACAGTCTTCTTCATTAAAATTATTGGGTTGATTTTTCGCCCAGGCTGTAAAGTTCCCCTCACCGCGATCTGCCCAAGTGAAGTTACCCTCCGTGGTGATGTCATTCAGGCCCAGCCAGGATTTTTCTCCATTATGGCGATGTTGAATATAAACATTTTCCTCATCGTTGGTAACATCAACAAGGACCGAGTTTTCCTGACGACATTTGGTGAGAGTTGTTGTCCAATTGACGCATTTTTCACTAGTCAAATAACAGAATCCATTGAAATAGCTCCACCCAGGATCACAGATATCTGTGGAAAAGTAAAGTTTAAGATTTGGCCTTAAGCTCGGTAATGGCTACTGGCTAACGCTGACAGTTATGTATGTTACCTGTTGGAGACTTTATCCACCAACAGAAAAGATGGCTACATTGAGGTAAGCCAGAGGTCATACATAGCAAAATTACGCAAAGTAAGACAACACCAGAATGGGTAAACGCCTTCTTATATCCCTGAATAAATATGAAAAATGGCTAAGCAATGATTCCACGTGACATCTGTGCACGTGGAATCATGTAACACTGCTACTAATCAAGACATGATAGTTTGCTCAGTAAAACGGCCACGTCTTAAGATGTGGTATTTTTCGTATTAACTGACCTGAAAGAACCGCATAATTCACTGACACGGGATCGTATCTGGTTTCGTACAACTCCTTCAAACACACCCTGAAGCCTGTTGCGTTCACGTTCTGCAAAAAAGGATTGCAGCTAGCTAACTTGATCATTAAAACTTTTTTTTTTAAATATTGCTTGTCAGGGACGGTGGGAAGCCGCTTTTCCCTCTTCCAATCGTCACTCGCGCTTACCCTTTTTTTAAACAAAAATTTATCAGAATCCCAACGGGAAACTGCGGAGGACTAGAAGCCCCTACACAATCTTACGTAACCTTAATTACTGCCCGTGATTTGCGCCGGAAAGAATGATGTCAATAATATGATTTAACGTAACGAGCACCGATTCTTGTCATGGTGGACCTTTTCGGCAGAGTTTTGTTTTTGCCCTTAAAAACTATCAGATTTATTTTTTTAACCAAGACTTTGTCTTGGGACGTCCATGATCCTCTGTTGTTATTTTTGGTACCTCGATCCATGTTGTAATCCCGTAGTGAATTGGTGCGGAGTTTCCAGGAGCCGTGCTGCTATGATTGGCTGTAAGTAACACTGAGGGTGTTGTGTTATAGCTTCTTTCAAACTTCACGAACTGCCATTAAAAAAAATAATAATTAGAATTCTTAACAATGTCTCGTGACATAAAATGTGTATTTTTAATTTTATTTTTATATTTCATTTCATCGACGTTTTCCTTTTTTCACTTACTTGGCAATAAGCGTTGTTATCTTCGTCTTTTGGTGGCTTCGTGTTTAAAAATCCGACAGAATCACCTTCAGTGAAGAACGGTTTGCTTAGTTCAACAAATACCAGCCAACTCTACAACAATATTATTAAACAGCATCAAAATCAATGACAGTTTAGATTGTATCTTTCCTTTTCTTGCTTATATTCATTAGTGCAGTATCCAATGCATGTCACATCATAGGAGCACTGAAACCTTCTCGCATTTTCCGAGGTTGCAATCTCGCCCCTGACACCAATATTTTATTCTGCTTTTAATAACAATATGATTTTCAAACATACCACGGTAATGTCTTCATGTTTTCCATCAAAGTTTTGCATTTCACGAAGACAGACTTTAAATGAGTCCTTATTTGGATCTTCTGTCCATATTAGGGATGCATCATACTCCTTTCCAGTCCTCAAGTGTTCTGCGGTCACGAGAACTATAGGTGTTTCCTTGAACTTATTCTGTAAAGAGTGAAGAAACTAGACATTAGAAATTTAGGGTCGGAACAGACCTCTACGCCGTCATCCTATTTACAAAGGAACACACAATCGTTAAACATTATTTGTCAGCACAGGCTCATTTTGACGTTTCCTTTACCTTGGGATAAACCACATGAGCACATTTCGTACCAGACCACCAGATTTGCATCTTAATCCTTCCCGTCATTCCATTGGGTGGTGCTCCTTGGTAAGCCAGCCAATCAACTGTCGCGAAGGGATTAAAGCTCTCTCCACTGTTCCTTCCTGTCTGCATGACGCAAACTGTAAAGTTTTGAGTGTTAACACTTTCAGTCCATGAAGTGACTGCATCGTGGACTGACAGAGTCATTTAACTTCATGTGATTGACAGTAATTTGAACATGAACTTTCTTATCCGGGTAAAAGCGATACGGCGGGAAATCTACCGTCTGGCAAGTGGAATCTGTCCACTTTGGGATTCGATGAAGGTCCTCGCGGCCACGGACTACTGGGAAACCTTTTGAAAAGTGCATAAACGTAAATTAGATGGAAATTCATCCTTTTCTAGTTAAAAGGATTTGCTTTGAAAATCAACCATCCCCGCCTTCCTTATGCTCCAATTCATTTTCATTACTTCGAGGACTGGGTAGGGGGTCTCTCTCACCAACCTTCACAGCTCCCAGGGTGGTAAACAAGGTTATTGTCCAGTCCCCTGCAGTAGCTCAACTCGTGCCAGCATTTGTTGTCGTAAGTTGTTCCGTTGGCAGTGCATACTGGGTCCTGATAGGTGGGGCAGTCGTTAAAACACACACAGCGTGCTTCATGAGCACTGTATGTCTTGCAGACTCCAAAAGATGGGCAGTTGACATTAAGACAAGGATCCAGGTCTGAAAAACAAAACAAAAAAAACATCTTACGTGATTGAACCACTCACCATAATACATGGCGTACCTCAGAGCTGTGTTCTACCCCTCTACAGTGGTCAAATATACTTCTTTCAGCCAATTGTAAAAGTCTTTCATATCGTTTTTTTCTGCTACCTGCTGCAATTCTCCAGCCTTTGCTTCCCACTATTCATTTCCCTGGTGTAGATTCCGTCGACTACCGGTCAGTTTTGCCCTGTTTGATCTAGCTATTTCACCCTTACATTAGTTCTTTCCTCTAACAAGGCCTTCAGCGTCTTGTCACTGCCGTCGAACCAATCCTGGTGAGTTTGCGATTGGGTTTACCTAAGACATTGACAGCAGTGTCATATATAATTGCTTTCAAAGAATTTCAATTTTCATTAACATCTTCTGTATCGTGATTTTGCAATCTTCCCAAAGCCTTGTCCTTTTCCTTCGTCAACTTCTGTTGGTTATCTTTATCTCGTAGTTTCATTTCGTTTATATATGTAATGTTTAGTAATTTCGAACGTTACTTAGCCTAACGAGTTCTTGTAAATTAATTCTGAAAATCCCAATTGGGAGAATTAATAAAACAATAATTGATAAAACGTATTGTAAGTATAAACTTTTGTTTTAGTATATTAAACTTTTGTTTTAGGATAGTACTTTAAGTCCAACATTTTGCAGATAAAATCCATGCTTACATTTCCCTTTTTCTTTCATGAATCTGGTAGAATGACCTTTCAAGCTCGTCACAGAGTTTGTTAAAGTGTATAACTTACCTCCGGTAACAATATAACTAACAGAAAGAGGGTCATGTTTCCGTCCTGTTCCACTCAAGTCTCTGACACAAATCCTCATCGATTTTAGGCCAACTTCCTGGAAAAGAATGAACTCTCTGCGATGAGATACTTCACCTTTTGCTAAACAAGAGAATTATTTTAGGAAAATCTGCAGAAAAGTAACGTACCTCCACCCATGCTGTGGCAATATTATTTTCTGGTAAAATGACGTTTTTCATGTTGCGGTTGTAGTAGTGATGAACTGAAACCAGGACAACAGGTGACGCGTAGAAGGTGGTGTTGTAATGAATATTCTGTGAAAACAGTGAATAAGGCTATAACAGTTCATTACGTACTACTTCTTCATTTGATAAAACTGACAGGACAGCGCAAATGTGATTCCTTAAGTAAGGTTAAGTCAGAAAATGGTATGAGCTATTTTCGGATCAAGACTGAAACTCTTAACTCATTCTCTGTCAAAAGTAAACAGAAGGAAAAATTTCGCAACATCTCCCCGTGTATTTTTGTAAAATGGTTTATTAAAAAAAAAGTCTATCCTTTTTAAAAGGCTGTCAAAGAGGTTTAATACTGCAGTATCTTGATTATATATTCCAAGGTTAGAATTGCTTCATAACACTTTGTTGTTCACTCTAGCATACGCGGTGAAAGGATTGATGTCGAGTGACAATTTCTTTTATTAGGTGTTCAGCTTTTACCTAATGACAAATAGCTGCTGTCAAAATCATAATATGGAGCCGACAAACTGTAAGTATTAAATTAGAATAAAGGTACTTGACAGAATCCAAAGTTGTCATATGATTTCGGTGAGCCAAGGTTTGGAAAGGTAACTTCTCCTGTCATGGTCAAATTAAAATGAGAACCATTCCCCACAAACGCGAACCAGTCCTATAAAGATAAATTTAAAAAACGTAAACGTCGAGACACTGTTATTTCCGTTTAACAGTTTATGGAAAAATTTTATCAGTTTATGTAAATCAAATAGTAAGATACATGTATAACGTGCAGGCGTATTTCCATTCAGTGTGTGTCGGCTGGGCAAAACACAATGGCATAACACACTCGTTTCTGTGATAAAAAAGGAGAGACAGAGGATCCCAAATCACGCATGTACACAGTGTAAACAGTCGGCGATTTCAGCGTTATTTGCCGGATTGTCAAATCCAAGTTGCCCCAAAGTGAGTTTAGTTTTAGTTTTGTTTAGTTGAGATTGGATTTTTTCATTTAGTGTAACTTCACAGCGACAATCGCATGCAAATGTCAGTTTTCTGTCCTCCGTAATTTATTACAAGCAACTGATTAGTATTAGTTAATGTAAAGAGGACACGTGCTGTTGTCCAGTCATTTGCCTCATCACGGTACGTTGTTCACAAAATCGCAGACAGTTGGTACTAAACTCTCTGATCCGCAAATACTGTTACCCTTGTCGCGCAACAATTAATTCGCCCGTGTAAATGACCCCTGGCAATCTAACAATTTACCATCGACTAAGCGTCAGGAGAAGAAAAATAGATGGTTTTCAGATTCTTGTGCTTGAGCTTCTTCTTAAACGTGTGTTGTAAAAGCGCCACATAAGCAAAGTTTTTATAGCCCTCAGACAAAAGGCGTCGTGGCTTGTTTGAGGTAAATGGTAGAACGAAAAATAAATACCAAGGCTAGAGGCCACACGTGTGGATTATTGTGTTTTTTCTTGTTATCCCAGAATGAAACTGCTCTCATGACGTTGTTCTCGGAGTTTTTGCGCCAGATCAATCAAGTTTACAAATCAAGGAGTCCCGAAGGTAAGAAATGTTTTAAGTGGAACGGATGTAGGGTTTTAAACCAAAATGGTTGGACTGGTATGTAAACTGAAAACAGAGCACTGCGAAAGTAGGGAAAAGATTAAGTTGTTCGTTTGACAAGTACGTTAACAGTTCAGTGTCGTGAGAGATATTTATTCATCGTGTTTGTGTTATCGTTTATCACTTGTCTCGCGATAGCCACTCACTTATTGATCGCGGCGTTTTGAACGCGTACTGCTGTTTTTTATCAGGCGATGGTGTCAATTTACTGAGCGGGGCTATTAGTACCACCGTGGTTAATAGTGATTGGCGCATCACAAACCTCTCATGGTCGGTGGGTTTGTTCCGGCAAAAACGGATGATATAATGGTAACTATATTTTAACTTACTTTTCTATCAGGGCATTCCGTTTTTCAAGAGGAACTGCTTAAGTGCGGAGATACTGAACAAAAGGCTATTGCGAAGTAAGTTGAATTAAATTACCGAACTCTCCTTTTGAGCCTTCAACATGAAACAATTGAAATGGTCAATCCTTGGTACTCCTTCCTGAAGCTGACGTGAAATTGGCCTGTCACAAAAATTGACTCGGAGGTTCCAATACGTTAGCTCATAGCTCGTAGAGGAGACTTGTTATGAAAGGCGGCAAACATCAAAGATAAAGTGCTGCAGTTGTTGTTGGAAGCTCCCTGACGGTGCACAATCCTTTGCTTTCTGTTCAAAAATTGTGAATAAATTTATGCGACCTTTTTATTGGTCAAGAAGATCAAAATGAATGCTATCGAACGCTGTGCACCATCAGGTCCACCAAAACATATAACAAAAGAGTCTGATGGGTTTCAAATCCATTCCACTCTATTATCTAAGGTTAGCTAGATAGCGTAGATCGAAATTACTTTTACTCGTTTAGGCCTTAGGCTTGGCGTAAGTCATCAGAGTCTATCGACCCGGCTGGATGAAAGCGTGTGGCTCCCAAAAGAGTCTGGAAAAAAGAGAGCCCGGAGAGGTTTAAAAGTAGAAAATATTATTAGGAAGTACTTTTCTTTTAGCGCGAAGGGTTCCCACAGCATGAAGAGGTGTATTTTGGGGTAATTACGCGGAAGGAAAGCCAAAAGTTTGCTCTTAGTGATTTTGTCCGATTCACAGCGATAATTTGTTAGCCCATTTTTTTTGTCGTCTTCATTCGTGGCCAAAGACAAACGCAAAGTTCCAGTCCTGTTAGAAAGTACTTTTTAACATAACTGGAATATTTCTTAAAGTTTTCATGGTTATGTCTTTAAAAAAGGAGAGCACAGGGCTTCTTTGATTTCTAGTCCCTGTGCCTCGTGTTTTACTCACTCTATTATCCTTATACTTTAGTTATTTTTTTCTATCCTTTCAGCATAATGGCGTTCCAAGGGTAACTTCACCGTTTTTCTCCTCAAGTCAGCTAAGTCATCCTCATGACGGATTAAATATAGGTTGTGCTTCCAGGGAAAATTAGTGAAGACAAGTTATATTTACTCTATTTCTATCATCGGACGCAGAACGTTTTGCTTTTAATAATTTATTTTTAAATCTAGCCCACTTAACAGCTTTTCCTAACGATGAAGAAACTTTTAGATCTTGGTATTTTACTCTTGTGTTGAGGAGTTATCAAAAAGATGATAATATTGTGAAAGCGTGTTCTTGTACCTTTTCTCAATCAAACGCCACCACGCAAATTGGTTAGCTATTGTTGCGGTGGTGTTCCTGGCCCGTCTATTTTATTGCAGAAGACTTTCAAATTAAAAAAGACTGATTCATCACTGGTGAGGAGGGAAAATTATATCATGAACATAACACCTTACCAGTTCAGTGTGCGAGATTTTATCGTATTACCTGGGTTTTCACCCTGCGAGCGGGGAGAAAAGGAGGCTCTGCTGA